ATATATATATATAAATAAATAAATAAAAAAGAGTACACTAAAAAATTGCTTTTTAAAAGCAAGTTAAAACAAATAGACAAGAACAGTTAGAAGTGATCCTAAGTTATCTGACAATTATAGAGAGGATGCAGTAAAAATAACTGCTTCCAAACTGGATTAAAGAAGCCAAAGATTTAAGAACATTTTATATGTTCTTTTATATATATATATATATACATAAGCACAATCCTGGAGGATAGTAAATAAATGCTGCTGCCCTCATATAGTTGTGCTTGTAAGAACCCGGAGAACAGGCCTATAGAGGCAACAAATATTCCTTCCTGACAAGCGGCTCAATGACATGCAAGCAGAAATAATTCTATAACTCTACAAATGATGGGATGTAATCCTCTAAGGAGGGAAAACTATGATGTTTTTTCTGCCATTTTGAATAAACTGAAGTTGTTTTTCTGATTTTCTTTTTTTATATAGACTAGCAAAGTGGGATATATAAAATAGATCTTGAGGGATCCCAACTATGATCTTTTGTCCCTTAGACAGATTATCATCAACACACAAAAAAAAAAAAATAGTACTAGTCCACAGCAGAGGACTTGCACCAGCACAGTACCATACAATTAAACCCACATTTCCTTTTTATCAATTTAAATGTTATGAAACTAGTTGGACAAATGCAGAAGTATGACCTTTCTATTCATAACAGGATCAGGTGCAACTATACTTGATGACACACTTCAATCGGTAAAAAACATATTTCCGCTTCTTGCTAGTGGCAGAAATACATAAAAATCCTCAGTCATTTTAGACTCAGTGAAATAATTGGCTGAGACATATTTAAACAGACACAATTAAAGCACCACCTAAAGATTTCCACACCACACAAATGTCAGGAATCAGGTAATCAAGTTCGAGGGCAGGTCAAAGACCTTCCTGCTAGGTTGGAAATAAACTGTGAATTGGTGATGTGTATAGTGGCGCATGGGAAGGGGAATGGTAATATCATAAAGCAACAGTCGAAACTAGTGTGTTTATTTATTCCACATCTTAGACATCAAGTGTTAACCACAAACCAGACACTTAACAACACAGTGTGTTAAGTCTTTAACAGTTATTTAGGGTTGAAATGGTGCAACACAGATTGAGTTACTCTCTATATTGATATGTCATTGCTTAACTGTTATCTAAAGAACAATAAATTTAAACTTCATATTAATTTTATACAGACCGAAAAATCCATGAGTTCAAGTTTTAAATAAAAAAAAAATTAAAAAGAAGGAATTCTGGCTTCTTAGTACAACGGAGTATTAGGGCCAGGCTGGAATTGTTTTTTGTTTTTTTTTTATATATGAGAATAAAGTCATAATATGAGAATAAAGTCGTAAAATGATGAGAATAAAGTTAAAAAAAATACAAGAATGAAGTCATCATACCAAAATGTGTTTCAGAAAAAAAAAAGATACTGAGAATAATTTGATGCTGGTGTGATAAAAGACTTAATATTTCCTTATTTAAGAAATTGATGCCAAAGTATAACTTTCTAAGATGCTCCTCATTTTAGAAAAGACAGTGCTTCATGTAAGAGTTGTCATAAAAACAACTTTATCCTCATTCTCATAAAGTTACAACTTTATTCTTGTAATTTTATGACTATTCTTATGATACGATTTTATTCTTGTAATATTATAACTTTACTCTCATAATATGACTTTATTCTCGTAATATTACTTTATTCTAATATAACGACTTTATGTTACAACATTATTCTCATAATGTTACGACTTTATTCTGGTATTTAAAAAACAAAAACAAACTCTAGCCTGGCCCTAATACTCGTACATCAGGGCATCCTTTAAAAATGTATGACTAAAATATTTCTTCAGATTTTGCTAAATAACACAGAGACCAATTTCTTATATAAGTTATGCAGTCATTTTAAGTAGAGAAAAAAATCCTTATTTGCTGGTGTGCTGTAACCTGGAGCACATACTGAGCCCTGATTTCTATCAGGTGATTTCTGTGCTATTTGGACATGATTACCCCATGTTTACAGAGAAACCACTGGTAAAAATCAGTGTTTCACCCTAATAAAAAAAAAAACAACTAAAAATCACTGCAGCTGATAAAAGCCAAACAAACTGCTGTGTATGGTTAAAGCATGAGAAGGAAGAACAGTGCTTAATTGCAAGAACAGCCCCAGGTCAGCCATTACACACAAGATCATGTCAATTAGACCATCAAATCACCTAAAGCCTTTAGAAGGAGAACACTGATGCTAATGAAGCTTTGGAAACTTGTGCCAAGATGGAAAAAAAGAAGAAAAAAAAAAAAGAAAGAAAACTCCATCTGCTTCAGCCCTCTGCTAATCATTACATTTTAACTAAACAGACATTTGCCATCTTTGTAAAGCACATTTTTTTTCCTATGACTCTTGACAAAGTCACAAAACCACACAGTCAAATTCATTCAAAGACAAAACGTTAAGATTCTGGAAACTCTCCTTTTTGATTCAAGCCTGCAAAATGATGGACCGTTTTGACACATCTAAATCTAAAAAAACTCAAAGCCACCTCATCCATCAGTGCATTAACTGGGGCTGTTCCAAACTGCAATGTGGTTATGCAAGCTCATCCTGCGTGAGGAAAGAACATGGACCGGACAGGATAAACATTGCGTAGTGCCAACTCTAATGCTCCTCCAGACACTATTGCTCAATGCAGTTGGCCAATACTTTTGATTTACACTGCCCTCCTTTTATATACACTGGAGAGAGCTGAGGCAATACAAGTACACGTGTTCCAAACAGCATCATTGGGAACAATTGTACTTTTCCTGTGCGCTATTCATTCTCCATATCTACAACACTACAGACTGCATCAATACAGATTAGTAATGTCAGAACAACACCAAACTTTTCCCTTAGCATCAAGCATATGTAGCAATCTAACACTTGATGCGTCTTATTGGGATTTTGGGAAAGAGCAACACAAAGGCACACCTAATTTTAAAGCTTTTTTTTTAGGCCGATTCTTGGATCTCATATTCTTATTCCTCAATCTACATGTTAAAAATGACACATTGATAACAAAGGTTACACAAGCCTTAAGTTGAAACCAAATAGACACAGCTCTTTACAAATAAAATAAAACATTAACCATAGCAATTATGGAGCTGAACTTTATGGCCACAATTTAGGTCCATGGAGGGGAGCCATAATGCATTCACTCCACTTGATCTTAAGGCATGGCTGTTAAACACACTTATAAATAAACCAACTTAAGCTTGAATTGACACAGAAACAAGCTAAAAACAACCAAAAATCTATCTCTGATTCACACAAATAATATTGCAAAATGGTTCACTTCTCAAAGCTTTATATAAGCTTTAAGTGCTCACTTTGGTAGTGAATAAATAAAAAATTGGACAGCAAAAATCTTTCAAGTAAAATCATTTCCATAAAATGATGGACTTGAAAACAAAAAAAGAATAATCTAAACAAATTAACACACTTTTAAAGGTATTCTGCTTTTGTAATTGCATCTCAGTTTGCTTAAAAAAAAAAAAAAAAAACTTTTTTGGGAGAAAAGTTGAGAACTTTCTCTGTCTTTAAATTTCGTTTTTAAAACAAGTTTCAGTCCATAGCAAAGGACTCTACTGAAAAAACCCTGAAAAGTGCTGACCATAATAAAATAGGATAGAAAATCCCTTCATTGTCCCACAATGGGGATATTGTGGTGTTACAGTAGCAAAAGGTTATAGTAGAAGTGGTCACACAATGTAGACCTTAAAAAAAGTGTATAAAAATAACAGATAAGAAAACAAAACAAATATATTATATTATTATATATATTGTACTGCACAGTGTTTTTACAATATAAATACTCTGTATCTAAAGAATAAAAAATCAATAT